TTTCTGTCTCTACCTGCTACACTACCTGGTATACTCTACATGGTCCGTGTGACTCTACAGTCACGTGCCTTTACATGTAAGCTGTTGCAGGAACTGCCAATAACCACCACGTTCAGACACAGGCAGTCTTTTCTTTTTTGGTACCCATATCTATATTTACAGTTGCAAATTGCCTTCTCAATCTTTGTCGCGCGTTACCCAGCCCTCTGTATGTATAGCAATTTTGTTAGCTGATACAAATGTAGCCAATGACGTATTCGGAGATGCCTTAGTGAGCCCATCTGCCATATTACACTTCCCATCAATCCATCAAACATTGTCAACTTCCCTTCTCTCGTACGACTGCCGTTGGCCCATTATATCGATCATCAGCCTTTTCTTCTTTGTCGTACCTAGCTTGACAAGATACTCATATAATGAATATGAATCTGTGCAGACAACTATTAGAATGTGACCTAACCCATCCTTCTCACTCAAAATTAACTCCAGCGTCGACTTAATAGCATAAGCCATATCGAGCCCGGTAACCATAGCATAGATCTCGGATGCCAGTGTGCTCCGCACGACTCTCTTACTCTTTGTGGATGAGAAATGTACGATGTTGCCACGCAAAAGGAAATCTTTGTTAGTTGTCCAATTTATTGTTTCATTTCCATAAACAATAATAAACCCTAGCTGCGAGGAGTAGTCAGCGTTATTTGCAAATGATCCATTGACGAAGACGAAAATATTTGCAGTTTCCATCTTGAGTGGTACATATACTAATCCACAGTCAGGATTTCTCATTTGCCATTGTAACCGTCTGTTAAGAGCGGTAATGTTGTACTTACTAGGGTCTTGCTGCTTTTAGGCAGCCTCCAATAGGTCGAAGCAGGCTTCAGGCTGGCAGATAGAAGCTATATACGCCCCACAGGCTCTTTGCTCTACATATTGCTGCTTAGCATCCTTGGCTGTAGGGTCGACAGGAGTAATATTAGCAGCTTGGCCTTTCTGCCTGAATACCAAATTTCCAGTCCGAGCCTCGAGGGATATCTTGCCACCGTTGAACGTAATTGGGTTATGAACATCGAGATACTGCTTTGGTTTGGCCAGTAGCGATGCGTTTTTCAAGGCTTCGTCCTCTTTGTTTCCAAATACCTTTTTCGATAGACCTATTGTGTCGTCAGTTTGCATACCAATCACCGCGAGCTCTCCATGATGTGAAGTTGTCAACAAACAAGGGTCAAAGATTGAGGTGGCCATGGACAACTTGTCTTTGTGATGAGTACTATAGGTTGCCCACCAGTGGGTACCGGCTTCTGCAATCCTGTATAATGGTTTGACAACTTGAATAATTGTACCGTTGGGAAGATATGGGCGGAGTTCTTTAGGCAAATACGCAAGTAACGTTCTTTGTAAAGGAATTGCTGACTGTGTGTAAGCCTGGGTAATATCGCGCAGCCAGAGGGTATATTCTTGCTGTAGAAGAGTCGGAGCCAGTGAAAAAATTAGTCTTTGACTTGCCCTTTGTATAGTGGGTGACTGCGTCAAAATTTTATCCTTATCTTTGTTGGCAAATCCTTGTATTACCAATCGTGACTTTTTATAGGGACTTTCGCTATTTTTGTTCTTAATTTCATTCACTATTGGCGAGCGGAAGATCCTTATACCTTTATGTAAGGTAGGTGAGAATTCAGCGAAAACAAAGACGCCACGAGCTATGAGGCCATCGATTTTGGCACGTATCGAAGCTTTAAAAGGCGCGCTAGATGTAGTAATAAAACCCTTGGCGCGTAGTTCTTGTGCAAGCAGTTTGTCGGCTTGTTCCCGTGCAGATATAAAAAGAGCGCATGGCTCGACTTCTGGCCAGGCGTGATAATGATTTATCAGTTGCAGAACTTGAGGTTTTTTCAAGCAACAACTTCGTCTTACAAGTGAGGCAGCATAATTGTTCGGTTTAGAAGAGTCGTTTTGGGCAGTATCTTTTGGGGAGGCAATCTCTAAGCTAGCCTCTTGAGTCATGGGTAGCAGTGTGTCAGGTTGTAGGTTAGAAAATGATTGGACGCTGTTAGTAGGTCTTTGCTGATCTCGTAGTATGGCTTTACTGCTGTCGATCGGAATTTTCGTGGGCCCTGAGGTAGTTGCAAGACACAGCTCTCACATTCTATTGACAACAGCCTGTATGAGTCCTGCCAACCTTGTATTTCACGCCATACACGGACTTTTGATAGCTAGGGCAAGTTCAGTGTAGGTAGTGTATCTGGGCCGTTGCGCTGGTGGAGTGCTGCAGTAGTATTCTGGCAGGCATGCAGGCGTTGAATATCCTGGGTAGCTTTGAATAAAGCAGCCGCTCGACGGCGTAGCTCAGGCAATGGAGGGCAGTCATTTGTTAGGCGTGGGTAGGCACCGAAAACTAATAACGTGGGTGTTAAGCTGTCTGGGCCAGCAGAGTTGTTAACAGCCTTAACGGCCATTTGAAGAGCCGCATCTCGAGGTGTTGATGGATCCTCTAACTGTATAATTTCATAGGCTCAACGTAGAATGGTATGGTATCTTTCTACCTTTCCAACTGTGACGGCTGTCAAGCCTAAGGGTTCCTGTAGCCTACGCTGTCTAGCGCAGGCAATTATACGAAGGGAGGTTCCTGGGAAGATCTTGGATGAGAGGGGACCTAGATGATTCACATTGAGCCTTGTTGAAACCTACTGAGAGTTCATGAGAGCTACAGAAGTATCAAGGATCTACAGGCAATTGTCGGAGAGTCTGAGTTGACAGGTCATAGAGAGAACCTTATCAAGGAGAGGTATTTCAGTCTGTATATATAGGCAGTCATTAAGTACAGAAATTCTCTCTTCAGAGAATTATAATTAAAATATTGTACCTACAACATTGCTCATGCATTTTGTAATGAAACCGTGACACCAATGCTATTATGGGCCTCGATTGGCTGCTTGCGTACCTCGGTTGCCATAAGCTTGGCAGACTGTCAATGTGACGGCTAGTGAGCCAATAATTGTCCTGTATCACTTGATGTTAATCACGTGCCTTAACAATTCTGTGAAAGGCAAAACTTCACTCTAGTTTATTCTGAACATGACTAGAAGATTCTAGCAACTAGCATCGAGACTGTGAACTGGTTTCAAGGGAACATAACAGAAGCTAGTATCAGACAGGAAGGAATATTCTAGATAGCCTAATAAGTGTATAAATAGTTGAGTTAGGACACACATATTGTGGTATAGAAAATAATAAACAACCTTCGTATATTTGATCACCCCAGCATCTATACCTGGAACCGTGACAGTCGAAATTTGTTGGACGAGTAATTTCGACCTGGGTCGTGGCTTATAAAATCGGGCGGGCCAAGATAAACGTCGATCCAGCACTGTCATAAGGCCTGCCAGGTATGGGCTGCCGATATATCTTTCAAAAATCGCGCAGCTTGGTAAGCACCGTCGACAACATGAAGAACAGGTAAATTTGTCTCTTGATAAAAGACATCGACTATTATTTCATAGTTGAAGTGAATATCATCATCTTGCAACTTAAATTTGAAGCGACCTGGTGCCTTTGCTTTCAGCTGACAATGCTGACAGAACTTGGCAATAGATTCGATCGAGCCCAATAGTGAGTCGCTACCATGGCCGGCTTTCATCAATATTTTATGTAGCCTACTTACTGACGGATGGCCAAATCGGCAATGTATCTGCCGCAACTCTGTTTCCACTAACATTTGGCTGTGAATAACAGCTTTTTCAAGATCATGCAAGAAGAACCAAGGATAGCCCCATTTCCAGACCAGTGGGACCTTGATGCTATCAGATACGCGAAAGAGGTAGCCATTATGAAGCGAGACGTCGATCTGTAGTCTCGCCATGTCTCGCGCACTTAATAGAAAGGGCGTTTTCGTCGGTAGTACATGAAACACTACTAGTACAAAGGGTGTGTTTATAGCTGTCGTACTGTCAGATTGGAGTCTAGACGTTTGAGCTGGAGCGAATTCAAAGGGCTAGAAGAGGTTAAATGGACGGCGAAAGATGACTGAAGGTATAATAGAGATAATTTGGAGGAAATTGAGGTTTGAAAGATGGTTAATATAAGTATTTAATGTTGAGCGGATTGGTTTGCAAAAGCTTGTGGCTGTTAGGCACAGATTGTATCACTTGGTGAAGCGAGTGGGAAAGTAAAGGAGTCTGTAAATCTGTCGTGGAGAGTTGTTAATTACTCCCACTAGGACACAGAGTGCTATATAAACTATATTTTGTAATAATAAAATCTAGTGGTTGGTATTTACGTCAAAGCGCATTAATACTAACCTCACAATTAATGGGAGATTAGTAATGTGTATTCTACACATCCCTGTCTTTACCATAATTGGAAGCACCAATTTCAACATTTAAAAGGTCTAAAGGTTCGAGAGTGTCACAGTTCAAATATAGAAAGCGAATGGGCATTTGTATGATTGAAAGGTAAAGCTATAATTCATCTATGTAGAAGCAAACTACCTGCAAGTCTACTCTACTACTTATACACATCCAGAGGTATCTAAATCTAGCCTACACTTATAGTGGCAATGAAACTGACTAGAGGTTTGTTCTGCCACACGAGTAACGCTTCCGATACTCTTGGCACTATCCTTTACGTAGCCTCAGTGGCGATCTCGTGTCAGTTTTCGTCTGCTGATAATCCTCGGAGTGATAGAGAATATAGGTTGCCTTCGATAGCCATCGAAGGCTACAGGACTTATCGGCTCACAAGCCGTCACAGAGAGGGTACTAATGATAACTAAAGGTACTAGAGGTAACTAGAGGTGACTATAGGTGACCAGAGGTGATCCGAAGGTGGTGGTTATGACAGAAGACTTAGCGTAAAGAACTCTATGCCTACAGACCAAACCATTGTATATATACCTGCCCTCCTTTCACTAGCTCATCATAACATAGACCTTAACATAATATCAACATGATACCATGTGCCAAGAACTGTCCTGTTGTCATAGCAACATATGAAGAAAGGTAAAATTATAACCTAAAGAAAGGATCGGAAGAGGAATCCTTACATGTACCCAGCGGTTTTTGGGCAGCTGCATGGCCAAATCGGACATTACTTTTATCTTGAGGGGGTACAAGGCTAATAGTAGGATCTATTTGACATAGTTCTTCGAATTGTGCCTCATCTGCTGTTGAAATTTCGGCTGCACCGCCATCAGGTATAATACCTTGAAATACATTAGCTGAATATTGATCTAGCAAAAAGCTAGTGGGCAAAATAGGGTGAGGGCTGGGGCTGAAGTGTAGTAGCTGCAGTTTTGAACCAGTTTCTGCATGCAGGGTCGAATATTCATTGAGGGCATCTGCAATCTTTTGCCCTAACAGTGCAGTCGACGACTGTATGGTTGTGAAATAGCTTGACTGAAAATACGTCTCTGATAGTCTAGTGCCGCTTTAATCTTCATTTCAGTCATCTTCATCACTTGAAGCATCATCGTCATAGATTTCAGCGTGGTAGAGAAAAGCCTCATACTGGGCCTTGGAGGGACGTCCACCTCCTTGCCTCTTGACGTGATGATTGGCATACTTTTGGAAAGCTTCCTCTCGCTCACTATCAGTATGATTATAAGAGACAAATCCAAGCTTTTTGCATACGTAGCACCTAGTCCGGCGTTGCTTATCCTTATTATACCCACTATGGTAAGGCTTATTACTATTATATTTGCGGTCTGTCCAAAACGTTTTGTTGACATTGTCATTTGGTGTACCAGGTATGGAGGATCTTTGTTGAAGGTGGGTAGTTGCCGGGTTGTTAATGTGCGTAGAGAAGAGTGTATTGGTAGAATCTAGTAGTCGAATTGATGACCAGATATTGTATGTCATCTCACGGAAATTCGACACATCTTTTAATACAGCATGGTTAATATCCAGATAACTCTTGCAGGCAACTTGCATCTTAAGTCGTAGATGGCTATCAGTTTGCATATCAGAAGGCAGTAGCTTTTTGATCTTGAGAAGGTTTTGTAGCATAACATCAAAGCAGTCCGCCTTCGACATATCCGGATGCTGTTGTAAAGTGAGTTGTAAACTAACACTTTCCCACTCTTGCAGATACTGCTGTCGACTACTCTCTGGTTGAAAATACTCCCTCATTAACAGTACTATTTATCAATTTCAGTGAACTGGCACACTTCGGTACTGAAAAATGTTAAGGCTTCGCCTTTCAGCATGTTGTGGAATAGATGGCCACGGGCAGGGTATGAGACATTGTTGATGTTGCAATTGCGGTGAAAAATAAATAGGGCATCATTGATAGCCTCATACTTATCACCACCATATTTTGAGGCGCTGCTGGAACAGCATTGTGAGATTGACAAATTTTGCCGTGGTGTGGGCAAATTGCTGAATCGGTCAAGTGTGGTATGATTATATGGAAGCTCATCATCAAAATTATTTTTCCTTTCTTCCTTTTTAGGTGTGGACTTTTCTGGTCGGGGATACTTCTTCAGAAGTTCTTGAACACGTCGCTCTTTCATCTCCTCGTAATGTCTCTTGGTTTCATGGATAAACGTGGTGGAAACTAGGATGGTGTCTCATGGGGAGTTCCATTCTAAAACACAACTCGGGGTTAGATCAAGCTCTCAAACAATTAGGACAGGCTCAGGAACATAGGGTAGTTTCATAGGGAATGCGTAGTAATACTGTTCGAGACAGAGCTTAGGGCTGTCCTATTATCTGATGTACATATATACCCAGCGTGAAGGACTATTCTTCTTCACGCAACGTCTTCTGTTTATACTCATACCTATTGTTCACTTACTTATCTCTTCTCTAAAGAAGACCGCCGTTATTGTACCCTTCTCACCTACTACTTATTTTACCTTTACTTCTTACGTGAACCCTATACCTAACGCTGAATTTATACCTCCTACTCTTAGGAATCACCACCATACTCCACACCTGTAACCTACTTGTACCAAATTCGTACCCTACGGAATACTAGTAACACTGCTCCTTGAGACTTAGCTGCTTCCATAGCCTCTTCAGCTGTAGGTCCTGGATCGATGAGATCAGCATATAAATCAGGAACATTCCTGAGTCTTTGACGGAACTTCTTTCTGGCCTGTTGAACAGCTTCGACTTCCTCCGGAGTCCAAAAGTGGAAGGCGCCGCCCTTGCTGCTCTCGATAGTATTGCTTAAGTGCTTAGCCATGGAATGGCCCGGGGTCGTAGAGACAAATACCCCTCTGTCCCGTATACAGTTGCGGAGGGTTATAAGGACTTCCTTGCTGGCGTTAGCAAAAGCCGTGTCTGTCCAGGCATAGAAGTGATCATATAAATGCTCCCACAGCTCGCTTCCAAGCCAATCATTCTCTTCATATCTGCAGACACAATATAGGATGTGAGTATCAGCGATTTTTGAATCAAACTTCGAAGGGCTTAGCTTGTAGTCCACTGTCTTGCCCCATATCAAAGAATATATCTTCGCGGTATGTTTGGTTGCAATATCTACCTGTCGGAAGGCTTTTACGAGCCATGTAGGCGTAGGTGTCGGAATATTTCCTATGGATTCTTTGTTTGAGGTAACTCAATAACAATTGTTTCATTCATTTGTATCTATCTTCATTTGTGACGGAGCGCCAGGGCCTTAATGACCTTGAACACTCGTCACATGATATATGCTTACACAGCTATTACTAATTATTACCCATTTGTCATTACATCTTCATAATCATTATTGCCACCCAAACTCCAGCATCCTTGTTTAATGCAGATCCAAATAAAACTTGTGTCCTACTATTTGACACTGGCAAAACAAATAGAAAAATGAAAACCAATTGAAGTTCTTTTTTAAACTTGACGTTTTTGAAAATGTAATCTGCAATGGAAAATATGTTAAACCCTCTCCACCCATTTGTTTTCCTCGACTGTAATAGTGTTGAGATCGATGAGACGTTTCAAAGCATTGCAGCAATCTGACTTTGTCATTGCGTCTGCTGGATTACTATCGCCCTTGATCCAGCGTACTTGGGCTATTTCCTGTCTTTCGTAAGATTGACGGAGGCACATCACGTCAACCATTAATCTCTTTTCCCGGGTTGTACCCAGCTTTACTAAGCACTCATATAGAGATTTGGAATCTGTACATAGAATTAGTGGCACTTTTATGTGTAGAATCTTATCAAGAGTTGATTTGATGGCTGCACCATAATCAAATCCATGTACTATTCCATACAGTTCCGCTGCTAGTACGCTTCTTGTTACTCTTTTACATTTTATAGAAGACCAGTGTAGAATATTTGCTTTATTATAACGGTCTTTAAGGACAATTACGAAGCCAATTTGAGAGGAAAAGTCATTATTGTTGGCAAAAGAAGAGTCTGTAAAGACAAATAGTTGCAGTGAGTTTTTGTCTAGTGGCACAAACTTTACTCCTCTGTTCTGGTTTTTGATTTGCCACAAAACCCTTTTGTTTAGCTTCTTAATGCTACTATTGTCGGGATCCATGGTTTGGGCAGCATAAGAAAGGTCGAAAGAGGCTTCTGGCTGACACACACTCGCAATATATGCTCCTCGCGCTCGTTGGGAAATAAATTGATCTTTTGTTGAGACACTGGTTCTAGACTTATTTCTAGATCCGTAAATATCAATTGGCTCACTGTGGACAGGTTTTAAATTTCTGCATTGAAGCTCCTGTGTTAAGTTAATAGAGCGCGAGCCACTATCTCTGCTGATGTGTCCGCCGTTGAAAGTAATGGGCGCAGATTCAGTGAGTATTTTCCTTTCTTTCGCCGCAAATTTAGACTTGTCGAGTTGAAGTTGTTCTTCGCCAGCGAAAACTTTATCTGCAACAAATAGGGTATCATCAGTCTGTATTCCAACGACACCAAATCCTTCATCACGTTCGTTTCTGTAGAGGAGACAAGGGTCGAATGTGGATTGTTTCAAGGATAATCTTTCAGTATGATGCTGATGATAAGTGAAAAACCAGTGATTTCCTGCTTCTGGCACACCATATAACGGTTTGATAACCTTTAAAATAGTCCCCTTTCCTCCTAATTCTATTGGTGCCCGTATGTAGAAGTCGCGACTAAGATTAGTTTCTGACTGGACATAGGCTTAAGTTATGTCTCTAAGATACAAGTCTACTAGAAGCATTGCTGCAAGAGAAAGAATGATTCGTTGACTGACTCTCTGGATAGTCGGAGCCTGGGTAAGAACAAAGTGTTTGTTTTCGTCTTTGTAAGCTTGTACAACCAGACGAGATTTTTCGAAAGCTTTATCCGTACCTTGATGTTTTATCTCATCAACAAACCTTGATGAAAAAATTCTTATTCCAGGTGGGATATTGGAGGGTTGAACTTTGATGAACACCCCTCTTTCGAGTAAACTGTCTACTTCTTTTTGTCTTGATTTTTGAAAAGGAGTAGCCTGAAAAGGCTCTGTATTGTTGACAAAATCAGATAAACTTGGCTCGTCACAAAATCGGGCAGGTGGTTTGCGTGTTCTTTGGCCGCGGGCTGGGATGTCTTTTGCTTGATTTACATCATATTTTTTTTCTTTCATTTGTTCCTGCAAACTTGAAGGATCGTCAATAGAGTTGCGGAAGTAAGGTTTTACGGAGGTTGATCGAAAGCTTGTTGGGCCTGAGGGTAACTGAACTTTGCATGTTTCCTTTTCTATATTTATTAACTTGAAAGGACCATGCCACTCCCCAAGATGACCTGCATTTCCTTCTCTCCACACCAGGACATCAGAGTTGGCAGGCAAATTATGAACTGGCTCAACGTTAGGTCCATTTCGTTCCTTCAAAGCACTGTTTACTTGTTTTTCTGCCCGAAACTTTCATATCTCATTCATAGCTTTTTGCATAGCCATTGAGCGTTGGATTACTGAAGGATTGGGAGGGTCTAAAGTTGTCATTCGCGGGTACGCTCCAAAAACTAGCAGAGTTGGAACTAAGCCGTTGGGTCCAGCAGTGTCATTGATGGCTTTTATTGCCATTTGGAGCATAAATTCCTTACCAATCTTGGCTCCAGCTAGTTCTTGAGAGATTATTTTATACACTCATCGTATTAGAGAGTGATAGCGCTCCACTATCCCAATAGACCAATGTGCCTCGACGGGTACGTTCTTGACAGAAATTGCCATTGAAGCAGCGCTTGGGTGAAACTCTTTTGCAGTGAAGTTACTGCCGGCATCTGTGACAATATAGTCAGGAGATCTAATGTACACGTCTATCCAGCAGGCTCTTATTGCGTCCCAGATATGCTTTGCGGAGATATTCTGAAGCCATCGGGCAGCCTGGAATCTGGTTTCTTCGTCGACAACATGAAGGATTGGATTATTGTCAATGTACATAATGTCAACAAAGATAGAGTGATTGAATTGGATGTCGTCATCTTGCAGTTTGAACTTGAAACGTCGAGGTGGTCCCTTGTGCTTTTGGCAATAGTCACAAAATTTAGTTAGGTGGTCTATATGTTCTTTTTGTATGTCATTATGACCGGATCTTTGTAAGACGGTATAGAGGCGTTGTGCCGAAGGGTGGCCGAAACGCCGGTGTAATCTTCGTAACTCCGTATTGGTAAGGAAACAAGGGTTCATGAAAAAAGAAGATATTAATGATTATAAGAAAACTCCCCATGACAGAAAAGCATGACCAAAACGCCGTATTACTTTAACCTTTTTGCTAGGTGTTATTAACTGGTTCTGAATATTATCATAATCAACGCCTAAATTATCCATATCTGAAAGAGAGAGTAGGAAAGGAGTGTCGGCTTTAACAATGTGGAATTCTATGACTCCAATAGGCGTATCCAATTTAATAGCTCCTATTGAAGAGCTGCTTCCTATGCCGAATTGAACGTTTACGGCGCCTGCTTTTGTGGTGTCTATTGTGATATTGGCAATTCTTTGGAGAGCCTGAAATTGCTTAAGTCCACCTGTGGAGTATTTTGAGGCACCCGTATCAATGATAATTCCATAAAAACAGGAGCTATTGTACCTTGAGGAGACTAAGTAACTGAATGGGTCATCTTCGGTGACAATTGCTGGGTTAGTTGGATCATTTCCGGTGATTGCATATTGGAAGGAGAGATCGGCGAGGTTTAACGCAGTTTCTCTTGGATTCAGGATAGTTCCAAAGGAGGTTATAAAAGATTCATTGTAAGGAACGTCGGGTTTATCAATCTCGGCTGGTGGAGTCGTATCTAGAACTAGCATTTCAATTTGGTTGTCAAGTTCAGATTTGCTAGTGCTAATATTTTCTGGATCGCCTTCATATTGCGCGAGCAGCTGGTCTGTACAATCATTTATTCGATTCATCATCTGTTTTTGGAAGACTTTCTTTGCCGATTCTTGCTCTGATACAGTATGATTTCGAGACCAGCAACCAGGGCGTTTACAAACATAACATCTTTTCTGAGACGACCCGAGTGATTTACGAGACCTCCAATGAGAATTTGAGCGCGAAGTTTCAGGATTTCTTTGATTATTTTCTTTGTAATAACGGCGGTCCGTGAATAATTGCGATGTTTGGGCGCCTTCATTTAGCTCAACAGTTGAAATAGATGATTGGAGATCGTTGAAAAGTCCCATTAGGGTACTACTTGGTTTAAAGCATGCAAGCTGGCAGGCAGGGAAACTGCGACATGAATTAATTAGCTTTGTATGTAGATGTTTTTCTGATCTATATTCTTTATCAAAGCTAAGCTGCAAGTGACGAAGCTCGGTAAAAAGCATTTGTAAACATTCTAAGGTCGACTTCCCTTTATCAACATTTTCAGTTATGACCAAGCGAAGAGTAAGTGATTCCCATCTAGCAATCTTGTTTCTTTTTGTTTCTGCACCTTCAAAATAATCTCTAGTTGCGGTGCATAGCTTATCGAAGTTTGATCGGTGTCCATTTGATGTTACAGAGAAATAGTGCGTTAGTGCCGAGCCACTAAGCATTATTGAATATGCCTTTGCGTATAGGAGCTCGGGTACATCAGCCTTCTCGCACAGTTCCATGAATATATTTAACTTGTAATCAAAGCTATCACCTTCACCCTGATATTTGAGCTCTGGCCCGTACATTTTTGCCAAGTTTGATAACTCTCTACCGTAGCCAGTGATGGGATATGCTGAAGGCTCTGAGGGTTTCTTTTGAGAAGCTTGATCTGTAGATGGATGAATAGATTGGGATCTTTTGGGCAATTCTTAAGTTGA